GGTGGAACCTCGGGCCAGCACGGTGCGGCCTCGGAGCTAGGAGTGCTGTCCCCCTGACCCTGGGGGCAGGACGGTGCGGCCCCGCGAGCTGGGAGTGCTGTCCCCCTGACCCTGGGGGCAGGACGGTGCGGCTCCGGGAGCTGGGAGGGTTGTCGCCTCATCTGGGGGTGGGCAGGACGGTGCGACCCCGCGAGCTGGGAGGGTTGTCGCCTCATCTGGGGGTGGGCAGGACAATATGACCCCGCGAGCTGGGAGGATTGTCGCCTCATCTGGGGGTGGGCAGGACTGGAGCTGTCCTGTGAAGTGGGAGTGCTGTCCCCCGGATTCTAGGGACTCTTAGAATGGTAGGCTGAGTGGAAATTTACAAGCCTTCTGCCTGGGGTTCCAGGGATCCCCCCGGTCATCAGCATCCTGGTCCTGGGGGTCAGATTGCATGTGGGTGGAAATTGAAGCAGGCAGAATTGGGGGCGCTCTGGGTGCATAGGGCCTGAGAGGCAGGCCTGTAGGGGACCTGGCGCCTTCGGCCCCCAGAGATCTGCTCGTCCGGCCCGGGGCTCCGGACTCCCTGGCCTGTGCCAGGCTTTGAAGTAAGGTGGCGGCGGCCGGATGGGAGGCCCTCCCTCTCCTGTTGGACGGCTGGGTGTGCACCAGGAGGGAGACTCCCTGGTTTTCCTGCCAGGCCAGGCCACAGGAGTTTCGGATTTAACTTCTGTCTCCTCTCTCAGCTCTCTGCAGGGTTGTTCACATTCAGAGTTCAGTTCCGTGAGTTTGGACAGATAGGTTGGGTCTCATATCCCCTGTCTTGCCCACCCATATCTACCTCCGACTTTCTGGCCCCTAGACTGTTTTGTGATGGCGCTTTTGCCTTTTCCATAAAGTCAGATGAATGAACCAACAGTGTGTAGTAGCCCTTTGGCTCTGGTGCTTAAGTCAGCAAAATGTATCTAACCTCCTCCAAGTTGCTTTGGGTATCAGAGTTATCTCTGCAGTCCTTGTAATTATTGTGATGTGTGGTGTGCTGGGGGTCATGCCCAGGGCTCTACCAGTGAGCCATACCCCCTGCCCAAGATGTTTCCTTTCTTTTTTTTTTTTGGTATCTGGAATTGAATCTAGGGATGATTTACCTCTGAAGTACATCCCAGTTCTTTTTCCTTTTTATTTTGAGACAGGTCTAAGTTGCTTAGGCCCTCGATAAGTTGCCAAGGCTGGCCTCAAACTTGTGTGATCCTCCTGCTTCAGCCTCCAGTGTTGCTGAGCTTACTCACATGCACCACTGTACCTGGTTTTATTTTTTAGTTTGAGTCACCCAGGCTAATGGGATCCTCCTGTCAGAACATCCAGAGTTGCTGGGATTACAGTTGTGTGCTACCGTGCTCAGCCAAATCCCATTATAGGTTTCTCCTCCAACCAAATATTTATTTATTTTTCTTGTTGTACTGGGTACTCAGGGCCTTGCACATACTAGGCGAGGGCTCTGCCGCTGAACTCATCCCCAGCCTGCAGTTTTTGGTTTTTGTGGTGCGGCATCCCTTGGGTGGAGAGGCCAGTTTTTGTTTATTCTGCAGTCGCAGGACACAGACTCTTTCTCATTTTTCTTGATTAGAGTAAAGGGGCTCTGGACATGAGTGGGCAGGTTTTCACATGAACTGAAGTCTCGCCTTCACTTTGAGGAGGCTTAAGAGCAGGGCTGCTGGGCCTGTGCCAGTGGACGGCCACCACTCTTCATCCTAAAAGTGGAAAAGGCGGTTGGTGGTGGTGTAGCCCAGTGGGAGAGTACTTGCTTAGTGTATAAGGGGTCCTGGGTTAGAGTCCCAGCACAATAAGTTAAAAATAAAAAAGCTTAGACATCTAGCCAGGCACAGTGGTGTATGCCTGTCATTCCAGTGACTCTGGAGGCTGAGGCAGGAGGATTGCAAGTTTGAGACCCTCTCTCAAAATAAAGAAGGCTGCAGATGTCGCTCAGTGGTAAATCACCCAAGGGTTTAATCCCTGGTACCAAAAAAGGGGAAGAAAAGCAAAAAGTTCGGGACTCCACTGGAGCCTGACATCAGGGCTTGGGCAGAGTGCTGTTCCAGGTTCCCCTGTCCTTCTCCCCTGGTCCTAAGGTGGAAGTTCACCCAGAGACAGAGGCTGTGCCCCACCCTGTGTGGATAAGACCTCCCATTCAGCTGGGCAGGATCTGCCCTCACAATCGCAGGCGGGATTCCTCGCGGAGCCCCTTCCCTCCCTGGCCAGGACCTCACTTGACTGAACACCATGGGCCTCTCCCGGCCTGGTCGGCTGGCTGCCGTCTGAGGGCCGGCAGGTTGCAGGTGGGGGGGTTGGCATCTCCCTGGGCAGAGTAGGGAGCAGCAGCCTGTGGAGCTACTTCCCGACTGGGCCGGAGCCCAGAGGCGCATGACCACTGACACATCCCCAGCCCTTGTGTCTCATTGTGGGCCAGGTCTGAGTTGTCCAGGCTGTCCGGACTGGGGTCTTCCTGCCCCCGCCTCGGGAGTCACTGGGTGGTGCGTGTGTGGCAGGGTGCCTGGTTTCAGTGCTCCTTTTAACCTGTTGAAGAATTTTGCTGTCTCAGAAATGAGGGCAGTACTTGAAGTGAAAATGGACTACTTCAGAAGCTTAGGTTTGGGGCGGGTCAGAGGTCAGAGTATTCCTGTGACAGTACATTTGAAATACGCCTGCAGGTGTCTGTGCTTGTTTGTGAAAGCACCTGCAGAACATGCTCAGTGCTCCTACCCAGCACAGAGGACAGGACATGTTCCTCAGTCTCTAGAACCTTACCTAACCAAGGTAGTTCAATTTCTTTTTCTTTTTTTTTGTAATTGGACACAATACCCTTATTTTATTTACTTACTTCTATGTGGTGCTGAGGATGGAACCCAGGGCCTTGCTCGTGCCAGGCGAGGCCTCTGCCACTGAGCCCCAGCCTCAGCCCCAAGCCCCAGGAGTTTGATTGTTGTTGTCATTGTTTTGTCCTGGGGATTGAACCCGGGGGTGTTTAACCACTGAGTCCCATCCCCAGACCTCTTTATTTTTATTTTGAGACAGGGTCTTACTGAATTGCCAAGTTCAGCCTTGAAGTTGGTCCTCCTGCCTTAGCCTCCTCAGTCACTGGGATGACAGTCACAGCCACCATGTCAGCAAGCAGTTCAGTTATAAAGGAAAAGGTCAGGGCTGGGCTGGGGCTCAGGGGTAGAGCCCTTGCCTGGCACGTGTGAGGCACTGGGTTTCATCCTCAGCACCACATAAAAATAGTAAATAAAGGTGTTGTGTCCATTTACAACTGAAAATTTAAAAAAAAAAAAGGAAAGAAGGGGCTGGGATTGTGGCTCAGCGGTGGAGCGCTTGCCTAGCACAGGCGGGACCTGGGTTCCATCCTCGGCACCACGTGAGAATAAAGGCACTGTGTTGTGTCCATCTACACCTGAAAATAAATAAATAAATTACAAAAAGAAGAAGGAAAGAAAGGGTCAGGAAAATCATAGTGCCACACAGAGAAGACCATCAGAGGTCCCAGAGGGGGGGGCTGCCAGTGGCCCTTGGGGAGGGACAGGGGCTTCTTGGAGGACAGGCCTCTGTGGGAGGAAGAGGAAACAGCTTCGGCTGTCCTCAGAATGGCCAGCGTCAAACTGGGCTGCACGGCTGAGCTGGCGGGTGCCACAGGGAGGCGGGCAGTGTTGGTGCTTGCACTGACTCAGGCCTGGGTGCCTTCTCATCGCTCGTCCCTGAGAACTCTTGGTGGCATTCCTAAAGCAGGAAGGCCCTTGTTTGGGGAAGGAGAGTGGCATTTTTGGTGACTGTCCTGACAGCACAGAGAAAGAACCTGAGGGTTGCTGGGTGGCCTTCCTCTTGGTGACTCATTAGGCTGTGGGCCTTGGAGACAGCCTCCCGCCTGAGCGACCCTCTGATGAGTGTGCCGCAGCTGGTGGGTGGCAGAGAGCGGGGGCAGCATGACTCACAGGTGTCTTCTGAGGCTGGCCTCTGTGGGTGATCGTCCTGCTTTCTGTGGCGGGGGGCTTAGTGGAGATGGGAAAGAGTGACAAACAGAAGCTGGTGACGTGTTGTTGTGGCGATGCGCTGGCTGTGGTGCTTGGTCACTCAGTAGTCCAGGTCACGCTGCCTGCTGTCCTGGTGGGGCCTGGGCAGGAGCTGGGGATGTGCTCGGGAGGTGGTGTGAGCTACAGGGTCCCCTGAGCCTGGCCTCTGCCTGGAAGCTGTTTGTCTGGGAGTGACCATAGGTCGATGCTGGCACACCAGTAGGAAACGGTGATCCCAAGTTCGTCTTGTCCTCCTGCAGCTCAGTCCCAGGTGACTGAGGACACACCCCTCTCCCACCAGGGCCTCCCATGGACTACAAAATGTTGTCCAGGAGCACCATGTGCTGGGGGCTCAGGCAGGAGCCATCAGTTCAGCCCTTTGACTCGGGAAAGGTCAAGCCAGCTGTTCTGGGGTGGGGGTGGGCAGGGGCTGTGTCGCAGGGGACACAGTGATGTCTGTAGACATCCGTGGTTGTCAGATCTGGGGTCGGGGAACCCAGGGATGCTGCTTGATAACCTGTAAGACTCAGGGCGCAGGAGGACCCCGAGTGTCAGTAGCGTGGAGGCTGAGAAAGACTCTGTGCTTCACAGCCTGCATTTCAAGGGTGCAGGCAGGCTGCTGGATGTGGTTGGTAGGCTGGATGTTCTATTTGTTGCTTTGGCCCTGTTTTTGTTTTCTGGGCTTCTTAGGAATGTGCATGTCAGCTGGGCCTATGTTCCAACCTCAGCCCTGTGAAGGTGTATACCCTTCCAGGTGTGATAGCCATGCCTGTCATCCAGCAACTGAGGCTGGAGGATCACAAGTTCCAGGTCAGCCTTAGCAGTTTAGTGAAACTCTGTTTCAAAATAAAAAATGAAGCTGGACGCAGTAGGCACACCTGTAATCCCTCTCCCGCCTATAATCCCTCTCTGGAGGCTGAGGCAGGAGGATTGCAAGTTCAAGGCCAGTCTCAGCAAGGTAGTGAGTCCCTAAGCAATTTAGGAGACCCTGTCTCAAAAAATAAAAAGGGTTAGGGATGTGGCTTATTGGTTAAGTGCCCCTGGGTTCAATCCCCAGCACAAAAACAAACTAAAGGACTCTGGAGGTA